TAACGACAGGAAACAGATAATGGGAATGGGATTAATTGGATAAAGATCTAAAAGATTTTTATATTATATTTAAGGAATGATTTTATCAGATCTAATTTGGGGACTAAATTGCGGTTAAGAAAGTTGTAACACATTAAAAGATAGGTATATTAATGATCTTACTATTTTACTGGAATAATGCTTTTCACGACTTATACCGCTTTACCTCTTAACTCAATAAATTTAACACCTACTGCATGACAGTCAAATCGAAAGTGAAAACCAAAATAATATTTATATGTGTCTCGATTATGTCTCCAATTTCCATTCCCCCCACCACCGTTTCTCACCCACTATCGTTGCCATTATTTGCTTTACTTTGCAAAAGTGTGTTTTTCCCCATGCTTCGATATTTATTTATGCGTTTGTGTGTTGGCATTGCATTTCACTAAGTGAAAAACTGGGCGAAAGAGATGGGGCGATGACAAAGTCGGTTTCCAAGTTCATTGCTACCCCTGTGGATCGCGGATCGCGAATCGGCGGATTTCTTTTCGCATTCGCAAATGAATTTCTTGCTGTTTTGGTTTCGGCCGGGTCGATGTGCATCCGTTTGCCAAGTTTCGCATTTCAATTGCCGCCAAACGAAAGTGAAAAGCGCAGCTTGACTGCAGCTTGACTTGGCCAAAGTCAGAGACAAATTCACTTTTTACCAAGGCGACTGCGCATGCGCGTCCAATTTACGGGGAAAAAAAACCGGGTCTAAGCCTCTTTGACATTTTTACATAGCAGCGGGTTAATGACTCCTCCAGGTGAACAGTACCCAACCCCCCACGGCCCACCCCTCTGCTAAATGTCGGTGAAAGTCAAGCTGCAACGCTACAATTGTCCAAAAGAAAAGTTCGCCTTGCCATTGCTCTCCGCAATTTATTTGTCTTTTGCTTTATTTTATTTTCTTTCTTCGCTTTTCGCAGGCGCTTTTCGCTTTTCGTAGGCGGCTCTTGAACTTTTGCTCACTTCGAAAGTTAACTCTATTCGATTTTATTTTATTTTCAGTTTATTTGATTTTCGTACGATCGTGTTTATTTTTATTGGCACAATTATTTGTGCATTTTAGAAATTTATTAAGCGGCCAAAGACCTGAAAGTGAAAACTATCGACAAAACGAAAGTAACGAATTTTGTGTTTCTTATTGCAATTTATTTAAAGGTAAACTTTGGTTTGGGCATTTTTTGGGGACTTTTACTTTTGGTTAATTGTCTTGGCAACGAATTATTAAGGGCTTTTATCGCTATATAGTAGGTATAATACCAAACACTTAATATTTAAAAAACATCTTAGGATAATACCGTTTGGGTTTAGTAGCCTTTAACTTTTCTGAAGTCTTTGTTCTTTCTGGAAGGAAAATATCCATAATTGTTCGCCTGATTTTCGAGTACTGAGTTATTTTTAAAAAATATGTGAACGACATAAGCACATTTATTGCCAAAAGTATGCGTTCCCACGACTCGATCAGTAACCTCCGAAAAGTTCAATAAATTAATGAAACCCAATAAAAGTGCAAGGCACTCAAAAACAAAACAAACTCGAAGATCAATGCACTCAGCATTCTTCCCAAAAAATTAAATAAAAATTCGGTTTCGTTGGGAGGTGATTAATTTTCATTCCCGCCAAAAAAATATCCCATTGCATAATCGGAATTTTAGGCGGCAGTTGTTAATTCAATGAACTCCAAGCGAAGGTGACTAAAAATCGCGCCCACTTTACAAGGTGTCATTTCGAGCTCCGTTGACCTTAGTTGCGTTTTTTGAACTTGACGAAAATGTTGAATACAATTTTTTTATTCTTGACTTGATTAAACGATACATTGAACTGGCGCTAAAATAAAGCAACAGAAAAACCTGTCCGAACATTTCCGCATTGAAGTTTGTAGGCAGAGCGAGAACGCTTCTCCCCATCTCTCTCTCTCCCTCGCTCTCCTGCACGCGCAAAATTTTTATTGATTGAGCGAGAAAGAGAGAGAAATAGAGAGAGCAGCAAAAATTTCAATGTCAAATTTTAATTTAGTGGTCTTTTTTTTTTCTCACACAGAACATTGCCAATATGGCCATATCTCCCTCTCTCTCTCTTAAGCGATCCTCCCTCTCGCTCACTCTCGTATTAATAAATATTTTGAGTATTCGAAATTTGGTTGCGAGCGTTTTTTTTTGGGGTGTGTGTGTGCGTGTGCTAGGGGAGCTGCCATTTGTTTGGCTTATTTCTAGTATTTCTGATAGTGCCCGTTCCACCTCTTCGCAGACACCCCCAAAACCCCCGCCCCTTTCCGTATCTGTGTGCGTGTGAAGTGAATGAAACTTTCAAGGTCGCCTCCGAGTGCTCGTGTGTGTGAGCAGTGCGTATTAGATAATTCCCATAGATTTGGCAGCAAGATTATACGGTAAGCTAAAATTTCACAGACTGTGGCGAAATATTATTTGGAATACATTTGTAACAGGAGATTCAATAAAGTAAGCGCAGAAATTTTGATTGCTGAAAATGTGAGTCAAAATCTTTTCTGATAGAAAAAATATAGAATTATGTATGACAAACAAAAACATTTAACTTTTTATGTTGTACAATGATCGTTCCAAACCTAATATTCAAATTGGAAGATAAACAAAATTCCCACATTATATAAATTCGGTTCTTTTTTATTTATATAAATTGTGTATAAATAAAAAAACCCATTATTCAGAATAGAATTCCCAAACACATTGTTAGGGAAAAATATTTGTTCGTTTAGAAACTGACCAAAAAATTAATGTTAAACAGCCTGATTCACGGCCTAACTATCTAATAGCGTAACTAAACAATAGCGTTCGAATTCGATTGACCAAAGTTTTTTTATCACCATTCCCTGTAAGCACCTCCGAAACGCTCTCCTCATATGTTTTATTATTATACTGAAAAATCGGAATTTCATTTATCAGGCTATTACACGTGTCGCCGATTAGCGAATGCCAAGTTCCCAAGGCGATGAGACAGCGATAGAGGAAGGGAAAGAGACGGCTAGAGGGGGGAGGAAGCAGACAGAGATAGGGAGGGGCAGACGGAGGGGCCTCTCCACTGACCTTGTTGTCTTTGTTTATAGAACACAAATTGGTAATCCATGAGCGAATCTATTACAAAAGCAAGTTCTTGCCAAAAAAAAAACACCTATATTTATATAAATCACAATGCCAATGACGTAAGCCAGACGATTCCGAATCTGTTTCCGAATTAGGAAAGAAAGAGAGACCGATTCCGAGGGAGATGGGAACAGAATGTGGCGTTCTTTATTCTCTCAACGCCCCCAAAAAATATTTTTAAATGTGTGCCACGAAATTCCCCGAAAACAAATACAAAAACAGCACAAAGGAAATACGAACAACAACCATAATATTTTATTAAATAAAGAGATATATCTGCGTTTTTTTTTTCAAGTTCAAATAAACATGCCAGCTGTGATTGTTTTCCTTTTTTTTGTAGCTTTCTTTTCTGATAAGAACTTTAATTACGCTTGCTAGTCTTACAGATAGTTTTGTATCTGTATCTATACGGGAGGAAGGCGTTTATGAATGTGATGTTTTGGTGTTTTGCTTCCTAGTTGTGAATCTATTGTATGCAAGTGAATAAAAAATCTTTGGGAATATAAGATTCGTTATTAAATGCAAACGATATGGTTCAGAAAGAGAAGTTCATCTTATAGAAATAAAAATGGAAATTAAAAGGGTTGCGTTCTTTTAAAAAACCTTATATAATAAAAAGATTTCATGATCAGTGAAACCTAGTTCGCCTAATTAAACCATAAAACGTCCCCCTATGCAATTTATTTAATTAGCAGACCTTAAAGTAGATTACTAACCTACACTCCCGTCGATTACTATGTATCTGCATAAAAAGATCATGCAGTCTGGAAACTTGAAGTGAATTCAGTCAGTGGCGTGCGAGAGATCAGTGCAAGACCCCTTTTCCTCTGTGCAGCCTGTTTTGTTGTTGTCCAATGCAAAAGTGCAACGATCTGCAGTGCGAAATGTCAGTGAACTTGGCGGCATTGCAACCGTATAGATGCTGCTTGTGTGTGTGTGTGTGTGGCACAGAAATAGCAAAGAGCAGATACAGATACAAGTTGCTCGTGATCGTGATGATCGTAATGATGACGATGGCCATGGCAGCGTGAAGATCATGAACATTGTTTGCCATTTACAATTGTTTACAAAGCGTGGCGTGTCTGATTGCCAGTGAAAAAGAGGAAGTACAGAAAAGATATAAAAATCGGGGGAGAGAGAGGCCTAGAAGATCTTCTACCAGCGAGAGAAAGACTTTCTTTGGAGCTTCCTCAACGTGGAAAAAGAACCAAAACAAAACCTGTTTAAAGAAAGTCTTTCATTCAGCCGCGAGAACTTGTTTCCGCCCCGAAAGAAAGTCTTTCTCTTCCGCTCCTTCTTGGTTCTTATTCTCTCTCTTGTTTACTTTCTTCTGGTTTGGTCGCCTTTTTTTTTGTTTACCTGGGTACCGGTGAAAGTTACGTAACATTTCTTCGGCCAAGAACGAGCTCAAGTTCAGCAACAAGTTTTTTGTTGTCTCGCCCATTTTGTTTTGCTGCTTTCTTCGTCTTTGGCATTGGCATTGCGCTGCTTTTATTTGAAGAAAGTATTACGTCGCCCTCGGGGCACATTCTTCTGATTGTTTTTGGTATTTGACAATGAAATGGAAGTTGTAATGAAAGTGTTAGGATGATGAGTTCATTTTTCATAATTTTTGATAATCGTAAAATAAATTTTTCAAGGGCAATGTGAGACAAATTCGTATGTTTTAAAACCTATACTGTTAACAGATTAATTTTGTCATAGAAGATTAAGTAAAAAATAATGCAATATATATTTTATAAGTATTTCTACGATCCTTTTTTGACTGCTGATAATTTTTTCCCTCAACAATTTCATTAATGTCCCTTAACGCTATTTCTGTTTATTAATCTTAAAATTCCCATCTTTTATTTGCAGAATTCGATGGCACAACGGTGCTGTGCCGTGTTTGCGGAGATAAGGCCTCCGGTTTCCATTACGGCGTGCATTCCTGCGAGGGTTGCAAGGTAAGTTATTGCACCACATATCCTTTAAGGAGCAGAGGGGTTGTCGCAACTGCGGGGGTGGTGAGGCAAAAGTGTGCTCGCCACGTGCAACTTGATGCCCAACCACCAACTTCGGGTCTGACATTGAACTCTGTTGACCTCCTTGGCAGGGAAAAAAAGGGATCAGGAATTACTTAAACAGGGTTGTTTTTCCCTCTCTCTCGTCCTGTGTATTCCCCTCTCTATCAGCAACAGGCCCTTTGCCCTTCACAAAAACCTGCGACGTCGTCTGGCGAATTGTCCTTGCATTAAATTGCGTCGCAATAAAATAAATCAAAATGTACAACAACACAATCCTGGGCAAAAACAAATGAGACACAAAAAAAATTAAAATAAAGCAACCACCAAACCAGAACGAAACCTTCAATGCTGCCTTTGTGGATGATTCTTTTCATCCTGCACTGGAAAATCAAATTGGGGATCATTACAATGCTATGATGATTGTATTTGAAGGATAATATATTAAATACAATTATTTCCCTTCTAAACATTCGAGTAAAGTAAAACTTAAATTATTACATTCTGATTGAGAGCCTAAAGACCTCCAAAATTCTTCCTTATTGTTTAACTAAACTAAATCAAATTATTGAAATTTTTAAGTCTTATTAAGTGTTTGGCTCAGTGTATTTCGTGGGCTCCTGCTGCTTAAAGCCTCTGTTGCCGCCCTTTGTCGTCTGTGACATTGAAAATGCCGGCAAGTTCATTCGCCCAAAGAGCTGAACCTCTGGACAGAGTCCAGTGATCGTTCCAGTGATTGTTCCCTTTCCAGAGATGAGTGTCTCGCATGATGAAATCTTATTCGACCCGAGCTTTTCCTGCGGATCGCAAGAGGATCGTGTCACGCCATCATCCCTATAGCCACTCTGCACAACCTTGGCAAAGTAGTTTGCCCTATTCCCTTATATTCGCCGGCACTCGGAGTTCGAGAAGCGAGTCGGGTTTAATGTCTCAATGACGTCCTTGAATTGGGTTAACAGCCAGTCGAGGTTCTTTCTCGTTCTCGCTGCCCCTTTTCATCTCCCGTTCCTTTCTTTTTGTCTGGCCCTTGGCGGTCCTTGTATTTGTTTTTGCATTTAAACTGTCTGCGCGTCTGAAATTTCAAACGTTGCAAAAATATAAACACAGTGATCGCTCGGAAATTGAAGCTTGAAGAAACTAGAAGTCACGGTTGGACAAGGAATCAGAGGAATTAAGTCCATATTAAGCGAAAGAAAGCTTTTATTATTTATACATTTATGTTGCATAAAGCTGAAACTTTAAAAACTATTTTAAAACTTCAGATGATTAAAAGTTTGCTAATGACCACTGTATTGTCCACAAGAAAAACTCGAATCGATCTGCAGAGGAAGAAGCAGAAGTTCATTGACTTTGGACCAGTTTTATTTCGGGTTTCTTGGAACGTCTTTTGTTGTGTGCTAATTTATATTTTTATTATGTGAATGTGAATATATGTTTAACCGAATAGGTAGGCCTACAAATTTGTGTTTCCTTCGCGCTTTTTTGAAGTTCAAGGTTAGGCCAGGTTCGCCATCCCCCTTCCTCCCGCTCACGGGCTATGTTTCCGTCCCCCTCACTCTCTTTTGAGGAAGCGAGTTTCGCAGATTGCTCATACGCCGCGTGGCTCATTTTTGGCTGATATTTCCGCCCTGGCCATTTGTGGCCACGATTTCTGAGTGCCTGCCTACCTGATCTGCTCGTTGGACCTTCGTCTTGTCTATTGACCTCTATTTTAGAGACAGATTCTTGGGTCTTATGTTTTTTGTTTTAGATGTTTTTTTGCTTTTTGAGCTTGACGAATGACTTCATTCGCAACCAAAACTGACTCATTTCGACACTTGGAAACTGAAACTATATTCGGAACTCGTTTGTTCTTAGTCGTGTTTTATAGTTTTAGAGCCGCTTAAGGGTTCTTTCCTTTGATTAATTATAGCGGAAAAGGTTTCACAACATACATGTTTATATTTATAGAACTTTTGAGCCTACAATTTTGTGCGTTTCAAGGTGGCGCCTTAAATGGTGTAAGTAACTTCTGAGTTTTACATGATCTAACTGAACTACTTTATTTACATTACCTAATTGGGTTACAGTTTATATTCTTTATGATACAATATCTAAAATGAATCGTAAAACTTTCAAACTTTCCTAATTATAAAACAAATTGGTTGGTAAATAGATAGTACAAATCCACTAACATTTAATCCCTTCATTCCGATAAAACACTAATTTTGTATGCAGGGGTATAAAATAAAAATGTTTTTCCATGACTTGTATCTATATTCCCCATTCCATTATCCTTAACCCAAACTAGTCGGTGCCTTTCACACATTTATTGCCTGCTGCCTTAATGACCCAATTCCCGATTTCGTAACTAAGAAAAAAATTGTTGAGGGCAGGTGATATTATTTGTATTTTTTTGGACGGACCACAACGAAGGAGCGTGTGAGGCGGAGACGAGGAGGAATAGTCAAATAGATGTTAATTTTCAATAAAATGCCGGGGGACTTTTCTTTGTGGTCAGCTTTCTTTATGTCAGATTCTGGGACTATTATCTAACGCGTTTGTTATTCTTTTCACATTATTTAACATATTTATTTTTTTACGCATACTCATGCATACGTTGTTTTTTCTTATTTCCTTTCTTTTTTCTGCCGCTCGTTGTGCCTGTCTTTTTTCCTCTCTTTTCCATTTCGCTTCGGCAGTTGTTGTTTATGCTTCGTGTAGTTTTTCGAGCGAGTATCTGTGTGAGTGGCGCTGCAGTTGTGTGCGTGCAGCAAATGTGAATGAACTCGTTCAATGTCAAAGCAGAAACAGAAGCAGCGTACGCAGCATAGGGCACGAGAAAGCAGCGGAGGGAGAGGCGGAGAAAGAGAGCGCTCTCTCCCGCTCTCTTTGGCTGTCTCAGCACCCTGGGAGATTTCCTATTGCATTTTGGAAAGAGAGACTAAAAGCCAGGAAAATGTCTTGTGATAGCAAATGGCCAAAAGTTATTCTTGATTTCCAAAATACCAAAAAAATACAAACAAATAAACTCTTACTATAGTTTCCAGTTCTTACTTTAATTATCTTTCACCACCCTATATTTCTAACGCTATCTATCCCTCATTTCTTTCATAGTCCATAACCTGCATCAATTTTAGAGCAATCAGATAATGATTGTTATACGAACAAACACCAAATGCACTTGATAATCCCAAAGAAAATAAAACAACGAAAGAAAACAAACTCCCTAAATAAACAGAACAATAATTTTGGGCTGAATTTATCAGTGGGGAAAATACTACATACCCATATTTGCGCCATTCCCAAGATTTTTATCATGGGAGACCCCAATTCTCATTTTGCTTTCGAGGTTTTTCCACTTGCCTGCACTTCAAATTGGAAAAGCAAGAGGAAAAGCCAGGAAAACCAGAGAGAGGGCGCGAGAGAGCCCCAAAAGAGAGCACTAAATGTTGGGCTAGGACACACACTCACACAGCTACACAAAGGTTAACGCTCTGAAATGCACTTGAACGACTGACTGCAGTCGCCGTCGACGTCGGCAGAGACGCCAGCAGCGACGCAGCGTTGCATGAAATTGTCTAGGCGTGAGTGGGAATGTGTGTGAGTGAGCATGAGGTGTGGCAGAGGGGTGAGAAAAGTGAGTAGAGCGAGGGGGAGGAGAAGGAGGAGGGGTGGAAATGGGAGGGAGGAACAATTCATTCGTATTTGGGTTGTGTATCTCAGGAGAAAATTCTAGAAAATGCATTTCCTTTTCAAATTGCTTTTAAATACAACAAAAAAATACGTAAATTGATATTCTAATATTACAAAATACTTGCCTTAAAAATCGGTTGAAATGAACATCGCCTTAGATTTATTTTAGTAAAAGTTGTAGGGATTATCAATTACCTGTTAATTGGCGCAACATTTCACCTTGTACTTTTTGTTATAAAAAAAATATAAAAGTAACTACAAAATGAATGTATCATTATTTCTATAATACAATTATGAGAGCATATTTAGTGCATGATTAACCAAAAAAAAATATATTCTAGCTAAATTTAAAATTTGTAAGCAAGATTGCTATCTAGATATTCATTTTTTTGATTAAAACTAAAAACCACGTAAACATAGAATTTTGTTTAATATTCAAGAAAATATGAAGGAAGAATTTCCAAGTATTATCCTCAAAGCATTTTGTTTTTATTTTGTTTTTAGGTCTAGATTTTTCACACATTTTTGTTTTTCACACACTCACGGAAAGTCACGATGCAAAAACACTCTCCCACTCTCTTTTTCTCTCTCTTTTGCTTACGCATCGCTAGTGACGTTTTGTGCTCCGGTTTGGTTTTTTTTGCCCACAAAAAGTTCAATGCACCTTGCAAAATTTGGGTCAACAACCTCAGCCTATTTGGGTTACAGGCCAACACAGCGATAACGTTTGCAAATAGATAGATATATGTATTGTCAGATTAGCGACTGGAGATTAAATTAGATTAAATTACATTTTAAAAGGTAAACAAATAAATAAATAATAAATGTTAAAAAGTATATTTTAAATCTTAATTGTGTTACAAAAACGCATCAAAAAATTTGCTTGCAGATCCGTAATATGTATTTGACACGACACACCCACATATTTTTACACGCTTTTCTACACAACCTTTTTGGCGCCACCTTGCGTTAGGTGTCTTCCTTACGATCGAGCAGTGTGCTTTTTTTCAAGCACAAAAGTATGCAACGAAATATTGTAGATTGCTCGCAGTTGTAGCGCAACGAGCTTTTGAGAGAGTGTGTTAATAGAGCATTGATAGGAAAAGCTCAAGGAAAACTACATAAAAATTTAATATTTAAGCAATAAATGGAATTAGTTAATTAAGTTATCAAGATTAACTGAATTAAATCACATACTTTTAATAAAAAGTAATTAAGAAAAACAGGAATGAAATTATTTATGAAATGAAATTATTTAGATCCAATTA